GCCCCTGCTCCCCCCGCCCCACCTCTTCCTGCCCTTGCTGGGCTCCCTGTCCCGCCACTTCCTGCCCCTGCTCCACCTCACCCCAGCTGCCCCAAAGAGCTCCCCGACATTACATATGATGAACCAGCTGGTGGATAAAAACCCTAACCCCTGGGGAGGAGAAGGGGCGCACATGGGCAGTAGGTGAACACAGGGCTGGGGGAGGCACACCCCCAGTCCCGCCCTTCCTGCCCAATAACTCCTGCTAACATCACAGGCACCCTGGTCCCTCAAGCAAAACCGGAAGCGGTTTCCTCAAGCAGCTCTTTCTAACAGACCACCCATAACTCTCAGGAGGCCGGAGGGCTTCAAGAGAAGGGCACTGCCTTGAGGGGAGCTGTTTCGGAATGAGCACGGCGTGATGAGAGCGACTTAAAAATAACCCTACGTTCATTCCACAGAGGCTACGAATGGGTTGACTTCAGCAACACTAATTACGCCGTCAACATCCAGGCCCACACGGCAGATGGCAGAAAGCCCTCCCTCTGCCCCAGCTGAGGGGAAACCAACTGCTGGCGGTAAGTGCCTGCCGTGTTCCTAGCACGGTACCGCGCGCTTCATTGCAGTGACGGCACACACAGGGCATGTCTGCGCTGCGGGGTAAGACTGGCCCAGGTGGGCGGATCCGGCCCAGCCTTCATCTAGTCGGCATCGAGATGCAGTCGGGTTGCTGACCTGTGCTGTGCTGTCTGCACGGTTACTGTGTACCTGTGCTAGCTAGAGTCAAGCTACCCCCGGGAGGCCTACAAGCTCACCTTCCCTAGCAGGGACAGATACACTGAGCGTCAGATTGTGCACCCCATGCTCCTGTCCTGTCAGCGGGCGCCTTTTTGTACAACGGATGCCAGGGAGGCAGGGGAAGTGAAGGCCAGACTGTTGCATGCCCAGTGCTTTTGGGGATACAGGCTCTAAGCACTCACCAGCTGTGGCGCCCCAGCCTGGCTGTGCCAGGGCTCCTTCAGCCCAGCCAAGCCGGAGCAGTCCCCCGACCCGCCCTTTAATCGGCTAAAGATTAACCAGTTAACCAATGAAATGGGATTTTACTTCCCTACCACAAGTCCCTCTGCCTCTCTGTGCCGGCTGTGAAGCGGGAGGGTGTGAGCGTTCGCTCAGTCATGTGGCTCTTTGGGGCACAGAAGTGCAACTTACAGTCCCACTCCTGCTCCCCTGGAGGCCAAGGGAAGTTTGCGTGGACTTCACCAGGAGCCGCTCAGTCTCTCTCTGCAGTCAGGCTAAACAGCGCCGTGGGCGAACGGCGGCACTGGCCCCGGAATCGCGTCCTTCCCAGATTCTGAGGGGAAAGCAAGCCGTTCGGTAAAACTGCCTTTTCCACAGGTGCTTCAGAACAACTTCCCTCTACAGCCTCCACCTCAGACCGGAGCACCAGCCCAGCCCTCCCCGACCCTGCCCCGACTGAGGAGAAATCTGCCCTGACAATGGCAGCCTTTGGTAAGGGCCAGGCTTTCGGGGGCGCGGAGGTGGAGCTTGGGGATGTCGTTGGCCTCTCCCCAAGTCTGCTAGCCACCTTTGGAGTCACAGGTTCAAAGCCTGGAGGAGCACATCAGCTGGCTCATCAGCTTTCCTTCTCGGTGTGTGTGACCCATGGAAACAAACAAAATGGCTTTGCATCACTAGGACACGCAACCTAGGTGAAACCCCCAGCCTGTGGCCTTCTGCCTGTCCCCAGCCTGAATACCAAGCAGCTGCCTGTTCTCGCTGAGAGCCTGATTGGACCATCCCTCCTAGCCTTGTGCTTAATCCTGTCCACTCGTGTCAGTTAACTCCCTGTTTGCCTTATGCCACGCACAAGATGGGGTAAAGAGGTGCTGTAGATCATCCCCAAAATAATGGAAATGATAATGATCCACCTTAAGATGCTTTTCAATTGGCCTCCCCCTCCTGCCCAAAGATAAGTGTCCAATGACAAGTGAACATGGATTCGGTAGCCTCCATTGACCCACACTAGGAAAAGAGCGAAAAGCATCTGCTTCTTTATCGTGTAAAGTAGGAGAATCCTGGCTCATGAGCAGTGTTCCCTGTAAGCTGTGCGTTTGTGCGGCCCCTCGGGAGAAATTCAGATGCCACCCAGCTGATTTTAGCAGAGCATCCATAGCTAGATATTGTTTTTGTTTGTTTATCCTAGTGGTGCACATTTGCACATGCCTCAGTGCACATAAAATTATTCCACACATGGAGGGAAAAAATCCACACATGGATGGAAAAGATTACAGGGAACATTGCTCCTGAGTGGCTGAAAAGTCATGTGTTGACTCAATAAATTTCATTTGTTTATGTCCACAGAGGTAAGCACTCGGGAATCTGGAGCAGTATTGACCAATTGGATCACGTGTGCCAATGAACACATTCTGATTTACCACAGACTGTTGTTGTTTGTCAGCCAGATGTCCTGTTCAGATTTAGGGTTGGCATCTCAGGGGCCGATGACTGATTATTCAGGGTCTCTAAATATTGTCTCCACTTTAAAAACAAACATTCCAAAGCTTTTAGGAATTTATGGAGATACTGAAGAGATTTCCAAATAGTCTGGACTGGAACTATTGGCCTATATTCTTTACTGCTGTAATTCCAGTGACTTCAACCAAGTAGAATTATACTAGGGGCATGGCTGCACTTACTGGAGATCGGCCCTGCAGTGATCAACCCTCACAGGAGTCAATTTAACAGGTCTAGTGAAGACCCGCTAAATCAACCACCGATCACTCTCTTGTTGACTCTGGTACTCCACTGGATCAAAAAGCACAAGGGAAGTCAGTGGGAGAGTTTCTCCCATCGACCCTCCAGCAGAAGAGACCCTGCAGTAACTTGAC